TATAATTTATAATAGAAATAACATTTGGACATTTTCTTCAGTGTGGTTCTACCAGCAGAGCAACAGCCAAGGTCAAAGTCAGATACCTGTAATATCGACTGGATATTTTGTAACATAGCAACCAGAGTGTCTCAGCTGACAAGATACTCCAGATTCCGAAGCACTCACAGCTGGAGTTCTTTAGCTGGCCAAAAAATAAAAAATTAAATAAATTAAATAAATTAAAAAATTAAAAAAAATGTTTTTGTGTTAATGCACTCTTAAAAAAAAATAAAAAAACAACTTTAAATAAAATGAAAACAATTTTTTATTTTTTATTTTTAAAAATAATAAAAAAAAAGGGACAGGGATAGGTCAGTAGGTAGAGTGGTGGCCCCATGATCAGAAGGTCAGGGGTTCGAATCCAGTGAGGTACCGTCCCTACACACTGCTCCCCGGTGCTCCTGCTTAGTGGCTGCCTGCTGCTTCACTGAGTGAATGGGTTAAATGCAGAGAGGAATTTCCCCACGGGGATCAATAAAGTATACATTATTATTAATATTAAACTGAAAGACCAACTGTGACCCAAGAAGCGAGATTAACACAATATTTATGTAAACACAGGTATCGAGGGGCATAAATGTGTACTGGATACTATTGTTTAAATACTGCAATCTGAAGAGGCAGAAGTAGCTTATGCATCATATTTATGGCTGTTGTGGGCACTTAACAATTTTTCTCACCTATATCAGTGCTGCTGCTGGTGGTGAAACAGACACAAGAGTGCTTCTCCTTAAAACATCAGATCTGCATAAACTACATTCACCTATTTTAAAACTACCAATTTCCAACTGCCTGTGCATAAAAAAAACACCACTTTCTTAGAAACTACAGAAAAGGACAAACTGACAGTTTGTGCATTCAAAATACAACAAAAAGCACAAAAGCTTTTCACTGAAGCCATTTCAGCTTTGCAGGCAAAGCACACATCTACAGTCACATTCATGCTGTCTCAAACACAAAGTCCACATACACTTCTCTACCAAACCTTTGACGTTTAAGACCTCACAGTCTGAAATTGACACAAAGGACTTTAAAATATACATATAGGGTGTTCAAGACACCTGGAATAGTTTTTAATTTTCAAAATTAAGGATTTCTAGTAGTCAACATTAAAAAACAAGCAAAGCGCTTACCTCCTGTGGTTCTCTCACATCAGCTCTGTTTTAAACTGGCAACCTGTTTCCACTGGTTTGCATAGCTTTACGTAAAACTGAAT